TGGTTGGTGATGTTTTTGGGGGGGGGGGGGCGGCTGGAGACAATCTTGTTTAAAACGAACACATTTCACAACGAAGACCTTTTCTTTAAAAAGATTATCTAGGAGCTAGCAAGATCACTTATCAGGTAAAGACACTTATCCTACAAGCCTGACAACTGAATTCAATACCTGGAATCCATAGCTGTTGTCTTACCTCTGTCAACATGTACACAAAACATTTCTCCCTAGCTCTCCTTGGAAAAAAGAGGCAGGTGGATCTGCATGAGTTAACCAGGTCTACATAGTGAGTTCCACAACAGCCAGAACTATACAGTAGAGACCCTGTCTGTCTCAAAATAAACTTATGCACATACATACACATATGTATGTATGAATGCATTTATGTATATCTATATACGTATGTATATATACACATACGCACAAAAAAAACGTTATAAGTAAAATTAATAAAGTTTAAAATAATGAACCCAGGGCTGGAGAGATGGCTTAGTGGTTAGGAGCACTGGCTGCTCTTCCAGAGGTCCCGAGTTCAATTCCCAGCACCCACATGGTGGCTCACAACCATCTATCATGAAATCTGGTGCCCTCTTCTGGACTGCAGGCAGACAAAAGGCATAATAAATAAATCTTGGGGGAAAAAAAAAGAACCCACATAGTATTTGTACTCAATGAGATTTTTTTTTTTTTTACACAAATGGCAAATGACCAGAAGGTAGTTAAGGCAATATGAAATTGTAAAAGAGGAATAACATTGAATTAGCAAAGAATAAGAGCAAAGAAAAACCAAACAGAAAGTACCCAGGATCTGACACATGCCAATTACCATGACAAGCAGGGCAGGAGAAAATCAGAATGAATGTGATAAACACTACAGCAAGTTTTCAACAAGCACTCCCAGTATTAAGACCAGGATCTCGGCCAGAATAAAAACTTCTCTGGAAGTTAAATTTTGATAGATGCAGGATCACAGCTGCTGATACAGCCTTTCAAACATTTGCCAAGGAGAACATATCAGAAATAAGAAATTTAATTAGGTCTTAAAGAAGAAAAATTGCTCAACTTCTTAAGTGACCAGAGACCTTTCCAAAAGGTCAGTGAGGCATTAACGACTCTAAGATAAGCTTCACACCTTGTTGAAGTGGGTATGAATTTCCTTCTTGGCAGTCAAGCCTGGGGACAACTTATGGCAACATCCCTTAACAGCTGGAGCACAGGAAAAGGGTTAGCAGTGTCAGAGCTACTAAAGTAAAGCAAACCTCTACTAGTCAAAAGATGCATATTGTTCTCATGACTAATATTTATCAAATGTAAGAATTCTTCTGACCAGTGTACTAAATTTTCCTTCCTTTGTGACCTGTTGAATTGAAAACACAGGCTACCCATACTTGAAAGTCCTACAGATATACTAATTACTGTTGGATGAAAAACTAGTGGCCACATCTATTAAGGTGAAAAATGGAATCCAAGTTTAAGGACCACCCACCATTCAGGGCTGGGAAGGTAGTTCAGAGGCTACAGCCCTAGTTTAGCATATGCTAGGCCCTGGGCTCCATCCCCCAGTACAAGGGGTGAGGGGGAATTCCACAGCAGTTTCTTGAATACTTAAAATAAATGTCTGAGGCTAAGGAGACAGCTCAGTGGCTAAGAGCTGACTGCTGCTCTTCCAGGACTGGAGTTCAGTTCCCAGCAGCCCTATCAGACAGCTTACAATTGCCTGTAACTACAGCTTCAGGGGATCAGACACCCTCTTCTTGTCTCTAGAGATACCCACATAGATGGCATATAATCACACACACACACAAATAACCTGAAAAGTTTTTAAATTAAGATAAATCTATCTTAATACCCCCAAGACTCAAATCCTGTATCTCAATTTGAAAATCAATCACATTTAATTGATAAATTCCAATCTATGCTCAGAATGTGTTTTTCAGTCCTTCATCGTTTGTTCTATTGGTAAGAAATCCTATTAGGTTATACAAATGGGAAAATAGTGCTGACAGATGACTGACTGGTGAGGAGAAGGCCTATGAAGAAAACTGGACAGATGAGATGCAGTCTTATGGTATGGTCAGTTTAATACTAGTTACAGTTTTTCCTAAATTACACAAAATATATTTATATAAAAGGTGAAATACATCTAAAATAATCTTGAGGGCTAGGCGTTGGTGGCGCATGCTTTTAAATCCCAGCACTCGGGAGGCAGAGGCAGAGGCAGGCGGATCTCTGTGAGTTTGAGGCCAGCCTGGTCTACAAGAGCTAGTTCCAGGACAGCCTCCAAAGCCACAGAGAAACCCTGACTCAAAAATAAAACAAACAAACAAAAAAACCCAAAAGATTATCAGTAAGTAATATGCTAAGTTGCTTGGGTAGCAAATAAAAATTCCTTCAGTTGGAAAAAACAAACAAATGAACTTATTATTAACTAGAATTCATTTTCTTCTGTAATAAACTATACCAAAACTAGGCATGGCTATACACACCTGTAATCCCAGGACACAAGAGGCTGGGGCAAGAGGATCAGAGTTCAAGGCCAGTCTTATTCATATGGTAACTCAATGCCTTAAAAACCAACACTTTAATCTCAGCACTCAGATGGCAGAAGAAGGTAGATCTCAAGTCTACGGAGCCAAGGCTAAACAGTGAGACTGTCCATCCCCCACCCCCAACAACAAAAAATACACAATATGACTGAAAATGAAGTCAATAGCAGAAGACTTCCCTAGTATGCTCAATGCCTGATTTTATCTCCATAGTAGGAAAAGGGGAAGTGGGGAGAACGGGGACACATTAGTGTGTCCTCTTCACATAACCTTTTAAATTACATTTAAAAAAAATAAAACAAAATTTAAATCACCATAAAATGCACTAAATGCTTCCTGAATATCATTGAAACAAGCAAAGCAAAAACAGATCCCATATTTTATCAATGTCTCAAAATGCTACGAACAAATTAATTCCTATATTTAAGACACTGAAAAAGCATAGGGCCCAGCCTGGTGGCAAGAGGAGTGTACTGAGTTCTAGGCCACCATGATCTACAGTCCTGGTCTCCAGGACAGCCAGGACTATAGAGACCCTGTTTCAAGAGAACAACAAAGAAGTATTTTAGAATCAGTAAGTAGTATAAAATTGGAAATGGGGCAAAAAAAGAAACGAATGATGAGTTTCATCATCTGTACCGCTATGGTCTGGATATAGCTGATGCCAACACAGCCCTAATGATACTCACTTCTCCTTCAGCTCTTTACTCAAAGGCTTCCTTATGAGGTCACTCCTTTCCCTATAAGACAACTCCCTTATCACAGTCCCTTAACTTTCTCAACAGCACTACTCAAGGTAACAGGCACCATATTCCCATGTATGTATGTATGTATGTATGTATGTATGTATGTATGTATGTATGTATGTATGTATGTATGTATATCCCTTGTGTCTGTGTCAGGTGTTTGATTGGGGAAGGGAAGAGTGGGCAGGCATTCCAGTTAGGCAAACAGATGATGCAGTATATTTAGGGTAAAGTTAGTAATCTAAGAGAATGGGGACCCAAATAAAACAAAACAGTAAATGATTATCAATTTAAGGAAATTTCTGATGTCTATATGCAAAGGGAGCTGCATTTTGCTATGACAGGTCTTACATACCTTAGGCTGAGTATAGCCAAGGATGGCCTTGGACTCCTAACCTATTTAGCTACTAAATACTAAGATTACAGGCATGTACCATATCTGAATTGATCTTTTTTAAAAGAAACAACTTTGGTGAATACTACAAATTGACCAAGTCCCCATAAGCTGTAAGTGTAAAACATTAATGCAGCTTCCTATTTTTCTTTTTTTTTTTTTTTTGGGGGTGGGGGTCCAGACAGGGTTTCTCTATGGCTTTGGAGGCTGTCCTGGAACTAGCTCTTATAGACCAGGCTGGTCTCAAACTCAGATCCGCCTGCCTCTGCCTACCAAGTGCTGGGAATAAAGGCATGCGCCACCACTGCCCAGCAGCTTCCTATTTTTCTTGCCAGAGCAAAACATTAACTGTAGTTAACAGTTTACTAGTCTGATATTTGAAATCATTAATATCTTTCTAACCTGAGGAGAAATCTGATGATTTATGAGAACTGCCTAGTCACTTCTACAAAAGTACTTTGAATATTCAAAGACTGTGTTTTTCCTGTTAAGCCTGACTACCACAAATAAATCAGTACTCTTATTTGGAAGCTACATAAATAAATAAATAGCTGGAGTTGGTGACACAAGCCTATAACCTGGCACCTAAGAGGCTAAGTAAGGCAAGAAGATCTCATAAGACTGGGCTATATAGAGTGAGTTTGAGACCAGTCTAAGATACAGTAAGACCGGTCTCAAAAATAAAAACCATCAAAACACGGCCTGAAAGATTGGCTGAGCAGGCAGTGCTTATCACATTAAGCTTAAGGACCTGAGTCAGACCTCGGGCATTCATATAAAAGCCAGAAAGCAGTGATGGCCTGCCTGTAATCGCAGCACTTGGGAGGCTGATTGATGGATCCCTGGTGCAAGCTGGCTAGCTAAACTAGCTGAATCAGTGAGCCCTGGGTTTAATCCAAAAACCCTGGCTCAGTATATAAGGCAGAGAGTCATTAAACAAGACACCTAACGTCAACTTTTGGTCACTGCACACACATTCACACAAGTGCATCAACATACCTAAATAAGCATACATATACCTACACTGTACACAAACATACATAGGCAGTAACAAATAAAAAGAAACAAGAAAGGAACAGATCAAGTAGCACATAGCATAATCAACCCTCCACAATAAGCATCAACAACACCCATCCAGTACAATTTCTCTATTTTCCATTTTTATAGCCTTTGAGACAGCGTCTTACTCTAGCGCAGGCTGTCCTGATCCCTCAGCTTCCTGAACCTTTTCTTTTGAAACAAGGCAAACTTACAGATCATTTTTAAGATTTGAATACAGACTTAACAGTCTAGTCAGTAACACACATTCTAGAGTAGGTGCAGGCTTAGAGAAGCCTCAGAACAGTATCTTAATCTATGCACAATCTTGATCAAATAAACCAAAGCAAATTAGGTGAATTCTATAAAGCACTTCCTAAACACTTTTTCTTTAGCCAGTTAGCAACCCATAACATAAAAATGTAACAGTTCATTTCCTGAACAAGAATTCCAAGTAGTTATTGAAAATGAACATTTCAACTACAAACAATAACAAGTAATGTCCTCTATTACAGAAAATTTAAGCACTTAAAAGTTTGAAAATGATTCAAAATAACAAATTCCTAAATACTCCATCGTAAAATCCATCCACAATCACAAATCTTACTTGCTAAAATGTCAAACTGACCACTCACAATTTGGAAACCCTCTGATATCCAATAGCCGGTAACTTGTTCTTTGTCAAGGGACACTACTTCCAAGATTGCTTCAAATTATAAAACAGAAGGAACCAGTGGGAATGCATTTTGCCTATGGCTGGTATACATCAGCTAGTTAATTTCTATGTCCCTAATGACCTTAGTGAATGCCAGCATTTAACTGCCAAAGCAGACATTCAGAATTATGTAGCCTACATAAATACAAGCCCTGAACTCCCCAAATGTATAATTTATCTTACCTCATGTCAACATGTTCAAACTATGTCTTACCAATAGTGTGACCATTTATAGGGCAAAATTTTTAAAAATTAATCACAAAAAGATATGTAAGATGTAGAGAGTGAATGACTCTGTAGTATGCTGAATGGTTTGCTATGAAAATCTAAATTTTATTCGATGAAAACCACAGGCAAGATTCTTGAGAACTGAACTAGTAATGACCACACAACACTTAGCTAACATGACATACTACAGTTTCAAGGCAAAATTCAGGTACACAATTGCTCAAGGTCAACTTTGCCACTAATATTTTTTTAAAAAATAAATAAAAATTAATCTTTTCCTCAACTGAACTCAGTGAATTCTCTAAACAATCTAGTGTTTTCAGAGGCCACCACCACAGGACCCCTAGGTCAGCCTATAACATGTATGTAATTGAAACCTTACAGCTGTCAGTTTTGTGAAACCTGAAACAAGTATTACATGATTTTCACTTGCTATCACGGTATAATACAATGCTGTAAGAACAAAAATCAGTATGTGCAACAAAGGCTAAGACCATCTGTGTACCATTATCACCATTTTAAGGAAACTATAAATAAGTCCACTGGTCAGAAAATGCAGTGAAAAAGATACTAAAGAGAAAAATGTTAATAACCTAGAAATACCCTTGCCACTCCATTAGTTTTTTGACGGGTCTCCGAATTTCGCTAGTTTCTTAGCAACCACACAGGGCTCAAGCACACACAGAACAAGTGGGGGTGGGGTGGCAAAACAAACAAACAAACAAAACAAAAACCACTTCTACCTTCATTCCCTCTTTAATATTTAGACCAAAGAGAACTTCATTCTCTCGATCTAGGACTCACTCAAGATGGGGGTCCAGGTTAGATGCCATCCTAAAGGTCAGTGACCAAATTTGGTCAACAGTGGCACCATCACTGCCGTCATTATTCTTGTCACTGTCAGGGACAACTGTCACCTTGCCACTACCAGGAAGGCAAAGCAACTGGAATATTCCTTTTGTACATTCTATTTACAAAGTGCCTAACATCATCTTAGTGTGATCTTACAACATGATAACAAATGGAAGAACCCCAACAGAAAAGGCCTTGCCACAAGAAACTTTCTGATACTAAAACCTGGCAAGGCACAAGAATATCAGAGACCCTGCAGTCAGGAATCATGTCTCACTGAACTGTAAAAGCTAGGTATCTATTTTCTCAACAAAACAGCTTCTGACTTTTTTTTTTTTGTCCCGAACACTTGGGTTATTTTGTCTAAAAAACATGGAAACTCAATGGCTATTATTTGTTTTCTAGTGTATCAGTGAAATCCTTTCAGCTTTTATGGGCAGATGAAATGTTTTTTAATACTTACGAAAGATATACATGCGGCCAACAATAAAATCCTAACTAGTAAGTCTTCAAACTGCTCGATCACAAGTTCCAGCAAGGTTTTTCCTGGTAAGAAAAAAAAGGCATTTGTTATAATTGTCTACATCAATCAACCCGTGTCCGCACACAGACGGTCTCTCCAAAGTAACATTAAGATTTACCTTCTTCAGCCGGTAATTCTAGAATGCCGAAATTCACCAGCCAACGTGTCAGGAGGGGGGGAAAAAAAAAGGACATGTTATTAGCGCCTCATAAACTGCTAAATCCACCATCATCGTTGTCTTAAAGACAGATGTGGGTATATGAACATTCAACCTCTCTCCACTGATATACCCCGAGAAAAATATGCAGTCCCGGTAACCAATGGCCACGGTCCTGCCCGTAAGCTCGCTCGGGCCTCCCGGACCATGCAGCAGCCGTTCCGGCTGGGTCATCATTTCTGCCAGATGTGTAACTTTGGGGAGTACAAGAAACGGTCGGAGACTTTCTCCACTACATCGACGCTTCATGAATCCGCGGGGGACTCAGCCCAGCCTCAGGGGCCTTCCCCACACCCCCGCCCCGGCTCGCTGCGCTCCGGGAAGGTCATT